AAGTCTTTGTGGCTCTAGCTTGGTTTCTTGAAAATTTGATATTGTTTCTTTTATAGTCTTGTGGACTAAAGAAGTAAGGAAGCATGCTTTATGCATAAGAAACAGGAGAAAGCACTAAACTTGACAATGATCATAGTAACACTACCAGATGATCATTACACCACTACATCTTTCTTAGTATCACAATCCTAACGCTCGTTGGATCAATGTGTGAATTAACTTTTTATAGAAAACAGTGCATGTTAGGTTATGGCGTCAAATATTGTGTTGAGACTGTCCAATTGCCTTCACCTACAACTGAACTTGGTGTCTTGTGATAGTAATCAGAAGATGCCAATCCTTTTCTTCTGGTTTGAGATTTTTACGTTAGCCATCTGGAGAATTTGAACCATTATCTTGTGATCTGACCTGCAGAGCACTAACCACTGTGTTATAGACCCACAGGTCTATTATATTAATAAAATTGGTTATTAAATTTTTATATTATATTAATAAAAAAAATTTTTTTTTAACTTGTTAAAGTGAGACTACACTCTAGTCCATGTTTATTCATAAATAGATTATTACATACAAGGTATATATAATGTTAATCTATATTAAACACTATATATAAACTAGAATCTACCTACAGGCTTAAGCCATCTGGGTACAGCTTGCCACCTAAGATTTTCTTACATCTTCTAGCCACAAAATTGTAAATCTTTCAGTAAGGTTCTTTAACACCATACGGATTACCCATTGGAGTACTGTGTCTCTGTCTTTTTTGATTTTCTTCTTAAAGTGCAAAGCCTAAAGGATCACCATTTGGAAAGCGGATGGAACCTTATTGGCCAGAAATTGTTTCAATATCTTTAAACCTTATGGGATTGACAATTCAATCCTTTTTAGATAATATTGGACTTCAAGCATAAGCTGCTTATTTAAGAGGGCGCAACTTCTTCCAAGTTGGACTAAGTCTTAAGGAGAGTCTTCCATTCTGGCAAACGTTACCAACTAGTACCTTCACTATAAATAAGAATAGTGGGTATTGCTGGTGAGTCGTAATTCATATAGAAGAGGGAGTTATATTATAGTTTTGCTGTCTAGTTTCTCCTGTTTGTAGCCTTCCATAATGTATTTCTTTTATAGTCTTGTAGACTATAGAGAAAGGGAAACAGCCTATTGTGGAACTGGAAATTGCATCAAACTTGGCAATGATTATTATAACACTAACCAGATAATAATTATGCCCTAATATCTTTTCTGGAAATCACAATCTCAATGCTCGCTGGATCAGTGTGTAAAACAGCTTCTTATAAGAAATAGCACTTAACAGGTTATGGCACCAGATACCATATTAATTTTATTTAACCACTCTCATATGGGGTTGAACTGATATCTTGTGATTTGACCTGTGGAGTGTTAACCACTTCATTACAGACCCACAGGTCTTTATATTAATAAAATTGTTTATTAAATTTTCATATTATATTAATAAAATTATTTATTAAAATTAATCAATTAAATTTTTTCAAAAACAAGTATTCCATACTGTATTATTATTATTTATAAGTAATTTTACTTTTTCTTTTATAATAAGAATTTTTTTAAATAATTATTCAAATTATTGTTATATATTGTTTTTATCTCAAAAGAAAAATAAAGATAGAGAATTAGTAGCAAGGAAACACTTTAAATAAATAGGACCAATGTGATATACTAAAAATTTTAAAGGTATACAAATTAGTACAATTTTAAAACATATGAGATTAGACAAAAAATGTAATAATTATTTGTTTTATAAATTTCAATTTATTTATTTAATAAATTAGAAGTTCAAGTTTGCCAATTCTTAGATAAAATTGAAACTTTATATATATATTTGAGTTATTTATTTTTATATATGATAATTATGAATCATAAGAAATAATAAAAATATAAAAGAAGTATTATATTTATCAAAACAATTATCTGTATATGTTAGCATAGAAACAAATGTTTTGATAAAAATAAAAGAATAAAAATAAATAAGTAAAATAGAAAATATTCTAAAGCAACAATAGCATGAAAAGTATAATGCTAAATAATAACAAGAATAATAACATAAGAATTATTTTAGAATGAACAATATTTCAAATGTAAATATTAGTGAAAATCAAACAAGAATTAATGAAAATCTTAAGTAAAAATCAAGTGTAACAGTATAACAAATAATTTTTTGATTAATATTTTATGTAAATAAAGAACTATATATAAATAATTAGATTAGAAATGTTATTATTATTTCTGGCAAGTCTGTCACTATCTGGAAACCAGTACTTATATAACAATAAGTATTAAAATAAGCTTTTTTTTTCTTTAAAAAATGTAATAATTTGGCTGATAGAACTAATATTTATTTTAATTGCTAGACCTGTACTTAATCCATATTGTAATTTCTTTTTCTAATCTTTATAAATCTTCTACAATATACTAATTTATTTTTAAAGTAATAGATTAAAAGCACAAATAACAGTTTATTCTTTTATTAAGTAAAAATTATCAATTACAAGATTAGCTAATTATTATTCTATTGCTGGATTATTTTACTTCTATTTATATTACTAGCAACACATACAATTATCTATTGTTATATTATACAAAATTATCCTAAGCTTAAAAAACTTTGGCACCTATCACTAATATATAATAAATGCATCATATTGTTGTATAACACTATATCTATCCATTTTTTCATAACAGAAGCAATTTATAATTGATTAAAGTATTATAAAATACTATATTTTTCTTCAGCTTTTAAAAAAAAAGAACAACTGTAAACAACTAGATTTATAATTATAAAATTCTGAATTTTTGTAATTTTCTTTTAATTCTTTTAATAAAAACATTATATTTTATATTTTTCTTTTATATTTTTCTATTGATTTTTTTTTAGTGGATAAATATTATTTCTTTATTATTATAAAAATTTTAAAATAATTTTACATACAGAAAGTGATAACATCTCTCACATAATCAATTGATCAATAAGTCTAATATTAACTTGCTTATAGAAACTATCTAAACAACAAAAAAAATAAATATTAAAACCAATATACAACTAATATAGTACTAAGCAGTCATAAATATCTACTCAGGATTATATAAAATAAATTTAAGAAAATATAAAGGTAAAAAAAAAAATATTAAACAAAAAGAAAATGATAAAAAAATCAATTATAGCAAATGATACCCAATGTTGCTCTAGTGATTTCACCTCCTGAAGTATAACAACACTTTTCAAAATAGTCAGGCTACAGCTCAAGATATATAATAGTGTTGATAACATATCATATTGATAGTTATTTCTTGACTTGCATGAGGTTCAAAACACTGTTAAAAATTGTAATGCATTAAATCCACATATTAAATTTAACATAAACTTGAGAATTAAATCAAATTAAATTGAATCATTAGGATTCTTAGTCATCACATTGCTCTAATTCGGGGTATGAGATAAGTAAAGAAGTTTCACGAAGTGAGAATCTGATCTTTGCCTAAAATTCTTATTTTCATGGAATAATATATAGATACTCTTATTCTTCTTATGCAACAAAAGTACGAAATGTCAAAAAAATTGTTACATAAATGGTGGGAAAATATTGCCTTTGAATTTCGGGATAACCATAATTTTTATTAATACATTATGCGGTATATAATATTTTATGCGTCCACCCTGACCATTCAAATACCTATGGAATTTGATGATAGCACAGAGGATGAGAGGTTTCACTTTATTGATAAGATCTTCTCCTATTCATATTCTGAATAAGTGTGTGGAGTTAGTTGATTTCATTTTGAGCGTTGTGATTAATCCTCTGATTTTTTAGAATTCATTGGCAATTGGTTAAAATTATCATGGTAGGCTTCTAGAACCTGTTTGATTTCGTTATATTTTGTGGTCACGTTATTAATCGTGGTAACGACATTCTGTGCTTCTGTTGCATAATTAACATCACGAAATTCAGATCGGTTCTGATCTTGCCTATTTCTTCAGCGACAGTGTTGATCTTGGTATGTTGAGAGTTTGTTTCATTGACTATTTTGCCTGAAATCGCACAAAAAGTACCACATGTTGATTAATTCCATATATAAGTGTCTATTTTCGGGGAACATCTTTGCAACGACAACCATATAGAAGAGTTAAAGTCATGAAAGACGTGTTTTCTGAAACGTTGAATGGATGCATCCATGCAAAGAAATCCTGATTAAAAATAATTTGTATGGGACGCACAGATATTCTATCACAAGTGAAGATATCTTAATTCGATTTAATATACAGTAATTAGATTACAGATTGATTTCTTCCGATTATCGTAAACATAATATGCGTTGAATCGAAGCAGATGGATTTGATTCTGTTGTGACGATTTCTATTTTATATTCAGACAGCCCAAATTTTCATATCGACTTTCTAATGTTTAACTCAGATGCAAATAAATAGTACAGAAACTATAAAATTGGAAGTTAACATTAACCTTAATTTTGGTCGGGGTTACATATGATACTGATTAATGGGAGACATCTGGAGTACCTGATGCTACACCTGATCAAGGGTCGATCAGTTTACAACATATACTGTATATCTTTAATCTGTCGATTAGATTATATGATTACTCTTATCAAAATTAAATAGGCTAGGAATTATCGGGATAGCCTTTGTATGAAATTAAGATTTTCAAAATATTATATTATTGTAAAATAAAAAATATATTGTATTTATTCTCTATCTTATGCGTTAATACTGTAGATAAGAAAAGAATGCGAAGATGTTACCGCTCAGCTGTGAGGTGAGTTCAAGATCCGAATCATATGAAATAAATTTAACAAATGAAAGAATATTACTCCAAAATTGAACGTTTATTCTAGAGAAACCAATTTCTTATATAAATGTGTCGTGAACGTACGATGAAAATAATGAATAACGTAGGTGCACTACCTGAGAAATTAATATCAAAACATACAATCTTGTATTTTTAATAATGAAATTCAATATCTTCTTCACTCTTATTATTCTCACGATTTTCTGTCTAGTTGCCGATGTATATGAAGGTAATTAAATATTTTTTAAAAAATTAGTTCAACATAGTTCACAGTACTAATATTACTATTTTGATTTTATTTTTTAATTTACGTTATGTATAGTAAATGCATCGACGATTAAACTCAAATCTACTTTCTGGGCGCATGCGATTAATGTGAGAGGAGAAATATATGATTGTGACAGTTATAATGATGCATGGGAAAATGGTGATCTATATCTTACCAGCAATCAATCCGAATGTCTAGTGTTTAGCACTTCAGTGTCACTTTCCAAATATTGTTTTCATTTTCATATTTATAAAAATGATCAATATATAGAAAATATTGACAATAGTCAAGACACATGTTACAAAGTTGATGGATCCGAATCTAACTGGTCATTAAGCTCAATAGATTGTGGAGAAATTCCTTCAAACATAGTAAATTGTGATCAATAATCATTTTTTGACTGGATTTTTTTAGCAACCCTATTTATCATACAAAGTCAATTTTAATTTATTTCAAATAAAGAAGTTTATATTTCGAACATTAAAATTCTTAACCCTTTATTACTTAGCATTTTAAGTATACAGAGCATGCGGATTTTAAATTTGCATAATATGTAATATATATTGAATTGCAAATTTAAGAAATTGGATCGTACGAAAAAGTGGTAATTAAATTAAAACGAAGCATCAACTAAAAAGGATAAATAACAAAATGTACTTAATATTTAGGATGCTTTGCTTCGGATAAATTCTATTATTGGATACCAGATGGAAGCAAGTAAGGTATATAAAATTTTTTTAGATATATAAATCTTCAGTTTATCATTCCTAACGTACAGTATATTAATGATGCGATCCTAAAATATTCATCCTTCCAGAAAAATAATTAATCTATCGATAATTTTTCTTCGTGGTGTTTTATTTGGACACTTTTTCACAGATGCGGTCTTATGCAGATGTATAACTTTTGATCCCGAACTTGTTTGAATCAGAAGTGTTGGTGTCAGAATTATTACTCGTGGAATAGTACTTATTTCTTCTTATTGTGAAATAATGTGCTTTTGTCTCTTTCGAAGATGCCTCACTAATTCATCCATTAATCTAGATTATATCTTTTCTGCGTTTTGTTTTACTTTTCTGATTTTTCTTTATCAGAGCATCTACTTGGAATGGAGAAGGAGGACGAAATATTGATTCGTGACATGGTTCTTTGGTTCCTTAACTCTGAGCTCTAATTCAATAACATATTCATCCTTCTGTAAGAATTCCTAATAGAGATCGACTTTGGGATTATAAAAGCATTATAAACATTCTTAAGCTCTGATTCTCCTGCCTTTGCAAGTTTGATAACCTAGCATTTGCAATTCACTTAACTATGTTCTTGTTAGATATGGGTATTATGCTACACAATAATTTATAGCACCCGTATAATGCGCACTATACTATAATAAATAACACGTAATAAAATTTATTTATTAATCAAAAGAATATACAGTCTGGGAAAAAAAAAACCTAAAATTTTACTTTTATTTTTATTAATAATTTAATAATTAATTAATTAATTAAGATAAAATATGCATATATTTATATTAAAATATATTAAAATAATATTATTAAATTTTAAGTAAAAAGAAATAGCAAATTAAATTTTTTAATTTTTCTATTATTTACAAAAAAACAACAATAAAAATTATTTCATTTATTTCAATATATAAATTAAATTTTATATATTAATAAAATTTTAAAATATTTGTTTTATAATTTTTCTTTTAACTTAATATGAAGCTATTTACTTTTTATATTAATTTAATAAATAATATTTTATTTAAAAGATTATTAAGATTCAATAATTTTTTTTAAATAAATAATTAATAATTTTATAAATTTTTTATATTTTTAACATATATATTTTTTGATTTAATTAATGATTTTCTATAAAACTATTAAATTATTTTTATTTTTTTTAGTGGTTAAATACAATAGAGCTTGTCCATTTTTATTGATATATATTGATATCAAGAGTTATTCAAAGGACTTATACAAGTTATATATACAGATTATTTCTTATATCATATCTTATATATTTAATATCCAGGAATCTATCACTTAATAATTTTTTCTTGTAATATCAGGAGGCTATAAAAGTAGAAATTTTATTACCAGTTTTTAAATTATATAACTTATAAAGCGTAATTTTTTATAGGATATATATTATTTACAACTTATATACAGTTTTAATAAAAAAAATCAATTAAATTTTTTTTATAATTTAATAATTATTTATTCAAACCAATAATATTTTAAATATATATTTATTAAGATTTATAAATAAGTATATTAAAATTTTATTAATGATTAATTAATAATTTTATTGTAAAATATTGATTTAAAAATTTTTAAGAATAATTTTTAAAACAATTACAACTTTTTACTAATAAAATTAAAGTTAAAAACTATAATTTTGATCATAACAAATTTTTTAAAAAAATTAATTATAAAATTAAAAAAAAATTTTGGCTTGTAAAAAATTATTGAATATTTTTATTATATATAAATAAATTAATTAATTTTATATAATTTTTTATTCTGTGAAATTAAATTTAAAAAACTTTTAATAAATAAAAAAATTTTAAAAAATTTTTTTGTAATTATTATTTTTTTTTACTACAATTAGCATAAAATACAAGACTTTATTGATTAAATGTTAATCTTATTATTAAATTAAACATTTATTTAAATTAATATTAGTTTATTGCATATGTAACTTTTAATGTGACATTACATCAAGTAGATAGTACTATATCAAAAGTGGTTCATAAATAGCTTATGGTTATTTATAAACAACTGTCATTATTAACTAATTTTAAAAAATTTTAAATTTTAAACCATATGTTTTAAATTAGTTTAAAGTAAAAATACATATCTATAAAAACTATACCAAATAATATTTTTAATCAAATTTTCTTTTTCAAAATTAATAAAATACTTTTTGGTCTTTTTAAATAAAAAATTACAAAATTCTTATTGATCCTTTATAAATCTGAATAAGTTTAGACCTATTAATCAGAAATTATATCAAGAATTTTTTTAATGTCATACTTAATATCAACAACTTATTGATTTGTTAAAAATATTTAGCAGTTATTCTTTCATTAAAAAAATAATATAGTTCCAAAAGTTTATAGATATTCAACCTATATTTCCAATCAATATCAACTGAAAAATTTTTATAAAAATAATTAACAATATATCAATTAATATTATTTGCTTTAATGTCCATTACTAAAAAACATTTTTTTAATTTAAAAATCAAAATATCATAAAACCCTACGATTACCCGTAGAATTTGATGATCGCGCAGAGGATAAGAGGTCTCACCTTGTTGATCAGACCTTCTATTCATACTCTGAATAAGTGTGTGGAGTTAATTGATTTTATTTTGGAGCGTTGTGATTAATCCTCTGATTTTTTCGAATCCATTGGCAATTTGGTTAAAATTATCATGGTAGGCTTCTAGAACCTGTTTGATTTCGTTATACTTTGTGGCCACGTTATTAATCGCGGTAACGACATTCTGTGCTTCTGTTGCGTAATTAACATCACGAGATTCGGATCGGTTCTGATCTTGCCAATTTTTTTCAACGATAGCGTCGATCTTGATATTTCGAGAGTTTCATTGACTATTTTTTCCTGAAATCGCATAAAAAGTGCCACATGTTGATTAATTCCATGCGTAAATGTCTATTTTCGGGGAACATCTTCGCAACGAAAAACCATATAGAAGCGGTTAAAGCCATGAAAGACATTTTCTGAAACGTTGAATGGATGCACCTATGCAAAGAAATTCTGATTAAAAAATATTTTGTATGGGACGCAAAGATATTCTATCACAAGCGAAGATACCTTAATTCGATTAAATATAAGTAGATTACAGATCGATTTCTTCCGATTATTGCAAACATGATATGCATTGAATCAAAGCAGATGGATCTGATTCTGTTGTAACAATTTCTATTTTATATTCAGACAACCCAAATTATCATATTGACTTTCTAAAATTTAACTTAGATGATTGCAAATAAATAGTATATGTATGTTATGCCTCAGATTAATCCTTGACTCATATGTAACCCGATCAAAATTAAGGTTAGTGTTAACTTCATGGGAAACCTGATGCCACACCAGATTCAAGGGTCGATCAGTTTACAACATACTGTATATCTTTAATCTGTCGATTAGATTATATGATTAGTTCACTAAAACTCTTATCAAAAATAATTATGGTGTGTACAGTAATCGAAATACTATGAAATGATTTTCACAAACAAAATTTTATATTGTTTCAACTTCATATAGAAATAATTGTTTATCTACTAATTTAAACAGGTTAGGCTATTTTCACAAACACCTTGTATAAAAATATTTTTTTAAGTTAGGCATTATCGAGATAGTCTTTGTATGAAATTTATGAAATTACGATTTTTAAAATATTATATTATTGTGAAATAAAAAATATATTGTATTTATTCTCTATCTTCTGCGTTAATAGATAAGAGATGAATGTGAAGATGTTACCGCTCAGCTGTGAGGTGAGTTCAAGATCCGAATCATATGAAATAAATTTAACAAATGAAAGAATATTACTCCAAAATTGGACGTTTATTCTAGAGAAACCAATTTCTTATATAAATGTGTCGTGAATGTACGATGAAAATAAGGAATAACCTAAGAAATTAATATTGAAACATACAATCTTGTATTTTTAATAATGAAATTCAATATCTTCCTCACTCTTATTATTCTCACGGTTTTCTGTCTAGTTGCCGATGTATATGAAGGTAATTGAATAATTTTTTAAAAAATTAGTTCAACATTAGTAGTTAACAGTACTAATATTTACTATTTTGATTTTATTTTTTAATTTACGTAATGTATAGTAAATGCATCGACGATTAAACTCAAATCTACTTTCGAGGCGGTTTCGAATGGTGGAAGAGCAGATATATATGATTGTGACAGTAATAATGAACCATGGTCAGATGACAATCTACATTTTCACAGCAGTCAATCCGAATGTTTAGTGTTTAGTACTTCGGTGTCACTTTCCAAATATTGTTTTCATCTCCGTGTTTATAAAACTGATCAATGGGTAGAAAATATTGACAATAGTCAAGACACATGCTACGAAGTTGATGGATTCGACTCTAACTGGTCATTAAAATCAATCGATTGTGGACAAATTTCTTCAGGCATGGTAAATTGTGATGAATAATCGTTTTTTATCTGTCATTTTTTTTAGAAACTATTTATTCTACAAATGTCGATTTTAATTTAATTCAAATAAAGATAGGTTATATTTCAAACATTAAAATTATTAAACCTTTATTACTTAGCATTTTAAGTATACTGTACATGCGGATTTTAAATTATTGTATAATATATATATTTATTGTTGGTTTATTAAAAGATAGGATAGCTGTCGATAATTCTCCTGCTAGTAAGAGAGGACCCGAATCAAAAAATTACCAAAAAATAAAGAATAGATAGTTCCCCGTATTTTACATGTGAACTGTACTATATACTGTATATCAAATAATAAAATATAAACTATGGTTGAACTACGAAATTGATTAATTTACTTCGGAAGTCATAGAAGCATATTAAAGTCTTTTATTCTCACATTTTACAAAATGAAAACTTTATATTTTTAATTAAAACACAATAAAAAATGCGATTGTACAATTTTCACTATGTTTATAAGGTCGTCGCTGATGTAGGAATAAAAGAAATTTCCCAATATAAAACATTACTTATTAGCCTAAAAAAATGGATCAAGATCTTGACGCGGAATTTTGGTTCTCGCATTACAATCTTCCTTATCAGTGAATTCGTGTCTTTTTCGTTCTTTCATGATAGTAATAGCACGTTCTTTTCCAATTTTCTCAATTCCAGTCAGCTGAGTATAGGTCGCTTTATTAATATCTGGTGGTCCCATGGCATAATTATAGCACCTCCCAGCAAAGGGTCCAAAATATTCCTTCCAATTTTCTTTGCTAATAATAGCAGACATTGGGTTCTGAAGCGTAAGTCCCTTGCAGGACGTTAATGTATATAAAATAAAAGTATCCCCTTGACTTGTTGCTTTTTTATATTCATCGTCAAATTTTTGTTGAGAAATGTTATCTTTTACTATTTGCATTGGCGTGTTTCCATTCTTAGTTGACCAATATTTACCATTTTTATTGGACAAAAGCTATCAGAATATTTAGCACTAGGTGCGTTGATCACAATATGTTTCGCTTCTGCAATGTCCACTTCTTCAGCCTGGCATAAAATTTTTTTATCTTGGTTATAATCTCCAGACTTGGTGCTGACCCTCCTAACCGAATGTGTTAATGTAAGATTTCGATTATATATCATGGAATTTTGGACAAATTTATGCTTTGCACCATTATGAATAGCACAGAGATCAACTTTTTGCCCATCACCATAGACATATGATTTTAGAGAGCGAAATTGTGCAACAAAGTACTCAAAATGTTGCCAGTATTGGCAACCAGGTGGGATACTTGATTCTCCACTTCTGTTAAATACTTCTTTGTAGTAAGAAAAATCCCAATTCCGTAACAAATAATCATTTGCATTCCCATGGTTTGCATGAGCCATAATCCATAACCAAATGTATGGACACGATAGATAACCAACAATTTGATCGGGATCCGAACTTTTAAACTGAATAAGTCCAAACTGTATCAAATGATCTATTTTTACTTCTTTTCCATCAAGCCCAGAGACAGTAGTATTTTTTTTAACAGGTGTGTGTGATAAAATAATGCGGAAAATAGGTTGCAGATAATCGATTTTACTCAGCCATCCTGAATAATTTTTTGTAAGGGTCGATCGCACATCATTTATTAGGTCGATAAAATTGACTTCGTTCAAATCTCTACCATTAAGTACTTCTCCCAAAGCCTCCAATGCACGTCCGTGACCTCCCATATCATCAACTAACATCTTTATTACTGGATCATTGGCAAAAACCGGACTGTTATTTATTTCTGGAGGTTTCAATAATGTAGTTGGAAGAAAGATTCTTAATTGAGCTGAACTGGCAAAGTAATCGTAAATAGGCATGCTGATAGTAGCCGTACAACAATTAACAATAAATGGTCCAGAAAGCAAAAGGCTGCCAAGTGTAGAGATGCAATCATAAAAAAAAGACCGTTTATTCTTTCCATCATCGAGGTTATTCAATGCCGCCTGAAGCCCATCCAGAACAATAATTACGTTCAGATCATTGAATTTCTGATTGTGATGTTTGGCAATTCTATACAAGACATCTTCTGGTAGTACATTATATCGATTCATAAATATACTCCAATGTTCACCAGGCTGTTGTAACAACTGAAAGGCCATTCGACTACCAATTGCATAAGAGCTATTAGTTTCTATCATCCCATGGAATTTTGTCACATTTTCAAATGATAGATTAAAATACAAGAGCAGACTTTAGTCGATTCTGTAAGTCAACATCATCATTTGTATATTCGATCAACAAATTCGGCAATTCCTGTGCAGTGCGAGATTTTCCTTCGCCAGCTCCTGCTAGAATGAAGTAATGTGGGATTTTTATTTTGTCAAGTTGTCCAGCCTTCCAAAATTTGAAATGATCACGAATAGCATCCTTAAGATTTTGTTTCAAAGCTTCTGAGGCTTGAAAGTCCCAAGAGAAACCACTACCCTTGAGAAGAGGTTGAGGATCACAATATTTTAATGTTTCAGGCAGGTTTCGTGCTGGAAAAAGAAAGAAGTCAGACATTTTGTTTCTGCAAATTTCTTGTTACTATTGGAAGACATTTACCAGTGGGTGGTTGTACAATAATTCGGATGTTCCTAGTGGACTCGTGAAAATATTCTCCGATAGTATCGAATGGAGATAACATTACACCTTGATATTGTTCTTTGATATTTTCGGCGTATATTTTGGTTTCTGGATTTTCACCTTTGATAGGAATATTCACACTCCATAGATCCATCTCATCAGCGTCAATATTGGTAAAGGTATTTTCTTTCTTCGTCTTGATGATATCCTTGAGATGCCCAACGGTCGTTACTTCACTAATATCTACCGGGAAAGAATTCTTAATGGCATCACCTAAATTGATGCAAAAAATCTGGCAACTCATTAAAAATTACTTATAAAATTATATTATTTGTAGAATTTTAATTCCATGATTTCTCTGGTATCGGATAACATTATATATATAAGTTACGAAGTCCAAAAATGGTTAGAGTGTTTAAAATAAAAAAAAAATTTCAGTTCATGGCACGTAATCTGACGTATTTATATAAATTTACGTGATTAGTGATGTTAGCAAATACATCTATATGTTCGACATACCGAAAAAACCATGTATTAGGAGAATAATAATAGAAAATATCGAATTTATGTGCACTTTTCAAGCAGATAAAATTAAAAGGGTTCTTGTCATATCACAGTCTGAAGGAAAATAAAACCGGGTGAAAATTCCACTATTGCCATTAACTTTAATATAATTTGTAGGATCTGAATGATAATCGTGTTTTATGCCCACTTCAAAGGCGCTAATCAGTGTATTTTATAATTATTACCACACTTCAACATTATGCTTTAACCAGTATAAACCTCAAAATTGATATGCCCCTTACTGATAATTTCTATCGGATCATTGATCGTGTAATCCAATTTTCACATACAGTATATCTACTATGATGCGAGCCACTTAGACATCCAAAACTGCTAAAGATTTTCCAAATAAGTTCACTTGTAAAAAAAAAAATCCGAATTCTAAAACTACAATTCCTGGAAAAATATAACATATTTTTTTAATTGTTGCCACGCATGAGCCACGATCGACATGCATCGATAATATGAATAGGATAATCTTAATATTTATTGCTACATACATACTCTCTCTTTATCTTTTCAATTATGTAATAGTTTAAGTCCCTTTAACCCTTTGTAACAATAGCCATTGGAATAAAAAATGACTACATGTTACAACTTTAACATGTTAAAAGATTTAAAAAAATGTAATTTTATTAAAGGACAAGTGAAAATGATAATGAGGAAATTGAATGTATGAATAGGTAAAAAAAGAGTTTGATTTTGCTATTGGTAACTTTCATATAATAAAACAAAATTAGATATACAGATACTTATAAAACTCTTTTTAAAAATATTATTTTAAAGAAAATTATATAAATTCTTCAAGAACATTTTCAGAAATTCAATGATAAGATTGATATTTTTTTACTACAAATATGACAACATTTTTTTAAAAAGTTCAAGTTTATATACTAGTTGAAATTTGATTATTCAGCAGTATGCCACTTGTCAATCATTGTCGAACATTCATCAACAATTTGGCAATCATTGCCAAATTGGATATACCAAATTATTGCTAAATATTTGACAAATGCTTGACGAATTATTTATTGTATGCTGAATAATCAGATTTCAACTAATGATATGCACTTATATAACAAGCAGAATGGTAAGCAACATGACAAATTTGCATTAGTCTAATAGAGTCTGATACATATGGATCAATTTTTCTAGATCTTTAAAAGTATAATTACAATGAAAACATAAATATTATTTTGCTTAAACCCAGAATAATTTAATATAGTTAAGTTCACAATAAAACTTAAAATAAAAGATATGCATATGTTCAACTGCTTTAATTACTTAAAAATCAAATATAAATTAATTAAAATAGATTAGTTTAATAATTAAATACAATTTACTAAATTACTTTATATATATATGATTTTTGTAATACAAAATTAAATTAAATAAAAAGAATGTATATTGCATAACAATACAATATTATTGTTTATTATATAGCATATATAATCTTTCATATTCATATTTTATCTTCATTATACTAGCTATATATACTATATATAATAATATTATAATACTACTCTCTAGAGATAAATAAATATTTTATTATTTTGATTTTTTATTATTTAATTTTATCTTTTATATATTTCTTCACATCTATATTATATATGCTGTTATGTATTATTTTTATCTTAGAAAAAAAATCAAAACAAAGAATTAGTAACAGAAAAATACTTTGTTTAGAAAAACCAATATAATATACTAAAGTTTCAAAGAATATACAAATTATTACAATTTTAAGATTTATGAGATCAAATAAAAAAGTAATGGTAATTTGTTTTATAAAAGACAAAATATTTATTTAATAAAATAAAAGTTTGGTTTTATTAATTTTTAGAAAAAATTGAAGACTTTATATATATATTTGAGATATAATATTTATACATACAATAATATAAGTTATATAAACTAATAGAATATAAAAGAAATAATACATTTATTAAAACAGTTTTTTATATGATAGTATAGAAACAATTGCTTAGATAAAAAGAAAAAAATAAAGATAAATAAATAAAAAAATAAATATTTTAAAATATTAATTATACAAAAAATATAATGCTAAATAACAATTAAAATAATAATACAAAATTATTTTAGAATAACAGTATTTTCAATATAAATGCTAGTAAATTAAATAAAGAATAATAAAAATCTTGAACAAAAATTAAGTATAATAGTATTATATATTAAGATTAAAATGACTATATAGATCTTTTACAATATTTTTTAATACAAGTATTAATTAGAACAACAAGCAATTTTTATTTATTATTTGTAATCAATATACAATATATTTTTAGATAAATAATTGTATATATAATAATTTGTATCAAGAATTTCAAAAGGTATTAAACTTTATTAAACTAATATCAAATAGTATTAATTTATAGTAATTTTAATATATAAGTTATAATCAATGTTGGCAAAATTATAATATATTAATAAGCTGAAACCTTACAGGTATGCTTGAAGATTTGAGGCCACTTTACAGGAATTGCGCCCTGCTTGATATTTGTATCTCTAGATTTGATAGTCTAAGTCAACTAAGAGTCCTATGAAGTGTCTACTGGGAGAGTAAGAAATAATTCTTAAGGAGTCGCACCTCACTTGGCCAGCAACTGAGCTCCCAGATTTGATAATATGTGCCAACTATAGAAACAAACTCTTGGAGCATTTACTAAAAAGTGTAAAGCAGTAAACTTCACAATATCCAGATATATGTATTATAGAGTAAAAGTGATAAGGACCCTAGTAATAGTCAAACAAGCAAAAAACAAAAACAAAAAAGCTCTCTGTAGTTCATACTTGAGTATGAACCCACCTTTATAATGCAAGTTGGTACTCGGATTAGAATAAGAGCAATGCATCAGTTAAAATAGACTGTTCATATAATGGTTATTTGTAATCTGTTGATTTACAATAAAATCCTCACGTGTATCGCACTTTAGCCCTTAAAAAAAAAAATTATAATCTATTAATAATTATTATATATTTTTTATTATATTATTTATTATATTATATAGTAAATAATATAATAATAAAAATATAACAATTATCAATAAAGTATAATTTTGTCAAAACTGGTTATTATTTGTTTATATAAATTTATAGTAAATTTAAATATCAAATTAATATTGAAATAATATTAAAATAATATTATTAAAAATCCTATATATAACACTTGAAATTGAATTTGTTACTTTTTAAGTATTTTAAGACTATTTGATATTGTTACTAAAATTTTTGAAAATTTTATTAATTTTAAATAAATATTATCATATTTTATTTCCAATTATTATTAATTATCATTTTTTATTATATTTATTATATAGTATTTTATTATTTTCTTCAATAATTTTTAAATGCCTATATAGTTTTAAATATTACAACAAATTTAAAGCTATAATTTAAAAGTCTAGTTTTCAAGCTTTTTTTCAATTCTAAGTAATTATTTGCAAAAGAACTAGAAAAATACTTTTATAAAAGTTTAAAAGTAATTGTCTTAATAATATTTTAAGTGATTTTACTTTTTCTCTTATAAATAAAAATTTTCTTTAATAATTATCCTAAGTGTAATAAATAATTCTTTAGCTAATTATTTGTATAAATAGATGAATTATATATAAATAATTAAATTAAAAGTAACTAATAATTGGTCAAAATATTATTTAAAAATTGTATTTTTTCTTAGCTTTTGAAAAAAAAATAACTGTAAACAACTAGATTTAGAATTATAAATCTTTAAATTCTTATAACTTTCTTTTAATTCTTTTAATAAAAATATCATTATTATATATTTTTCTTTTATATTTTTTTATTGTTTTTCTATTGAAATTCAATTTTTATATATTGTTATATTTTGATTCCAATATTAAGACAAAGTTGTAAAATTGATTGAAATAATAATTTTAAATTATTTATATAAATTTATTTTTTTTTAAATAAGTATCATTTCTTTATTTGATTTGTATATAATAAGATATACATTATAAAAATAATAATATCTCTTATATATTAATATAATGAATTAAATGCTGGCTTATTTACAATAATCAAATAACTAATATCAAAAAAAAAGTTTAAAACAATATATCTTGCTATATAATATTAAGTAACCACAAATATCTACTTAGTGTGAGAGAAAATAGTATTTGATATGGATAATATTAGATTGTAAATATATTTGAAATAATCATATTTATATTAAATAAAAAATTAGTAACAATAATTAATAAGTTAAAAAAAAACTCTTTTCCATACACAACCTTTTTCTTAAAAATTTTCTTTTATAGTAATTTTTCTCCAAAATTAAAGAAACAAATATTTTTTCACCTTTCAATATCCAAAAGTTCTTCACACTTCCTCTTTCT